CTCTCAGGAAACTTATTGTGTCGAAATGATGATAAAGTATCTTAGGGTATCTGCTATATATACCAACGTATATTACCTACGCGATAGAGAAGAGAATGATAAATTATCTCCCTCTAATTCTCTTTCTCTGCAACCACTTTCGCCATTTCCATCGAAACTCGGAAAGCATCGAGTTTCACACACATACACCTGTCGTTACTGCTATCGGGTAATATGTACCTACTACCTATCTTACTAAAACAACATTACTTCTACCCCTGTTCGTTGCCTTCACCTTCTTCCTCATCTTCTTCTTGTTCTTCTTCTTCGTAATCTATAAATAATAATAAGCGCGTCTTGGTTCGTTAAACATTGAAATCGTGGGGGAATTTCCCGGGTAGTCGTCAGTGGCGCACGGGTAGCTCCAGAGTAAACGAAGCCGCAATTTTAATATCTAAATATGCATAAGCTGTAAAGCGCTTCCAAGACTTGTACCTACACGCCTAGTGCTGGCGAAGGTGTTGGAAAGGAAAGGGGCGGAAAGTGACAGTAATTGACTTAGCTCCGTTTTCCTCCGACACGGACGTAGCCGCCTTACACCACCACCAGCGAGACTACGACAATAATTAGTTGTGTCCACGAAGAAGAGCAACGGGTAAATTTTAACCTTCGTCGTAATGACGAACTCCTTGAGAAATGGTAATTTTGTTAGTTTAACTTCTACGGAAATTGGTGTTAAACATTAGAACTTTTCGTAAAATTATCCTCAATTAAGGGTAGGTATTATCTAAATGAAAATTAACCAAATACAATGCGAAGTTCTCTTCAAAACATATCTATTTTGTGAAATTTGTCAAAATTGTTAGACTTGTTTTGGAAAATCCAAACGAACATGAGTATACGTTGTTCAGTGTTATTAGTTCAGTCATGCCCTAGGCAAAAATTTTTCTCTCCAGTTTTTCAGCGTCTCTGAGAGCGTCTCTCACAGTCTTTCACAGTCCCTCAGTTATTGCTTAGGTGTTCTCATGGATCTCTCACAGTCTCTATATGAGAGACTCGAACGATAAAATTGTTAATTCAGAGATTCGAGTCTCTCATTCAGAGACTGGATACGAAATGAGGATCTCTCTATGAGCGACTCGAGTCTCTCATTCAGAGACGCTAAACAGTCTTTTTGGCAGTCTCTCTTAGCGACACCAGAGTGACTCGATGAGAGACAGAGACTCGAGTCTCGCTTTCAGAGACTGAACATTTTTCTCTCGGGTGTAGCCGATAGGGAATGAAATTAATATACGCACATCAGCAATAAATTTAGCGAAGAGTAAATCATAAGATGTTGTAAGTTGGAAATTATTATCCTTTAAACTTCACTTTCAGATAGAAAGAGATTTTGCAAACGTAGCGACCGTCGTCCGCTTCTGGAGCCCTGTAGGTAGATACGTGCATACACATATAGGACTGTCATGTTCGGCAAGCGTCAACCGAGTTTGCTCAATTTGGTTTTAGTTGACAGTAGTCCTGTGCTTGCCAGTAACACCCACCGCTGCTACCCAAACACGTGTATTACACACAACCGCAAACCACATTGGCTTCCTATTGTTTTACATGACTAGAACTATCATTTACAAATGTCGCCACCAGTGCTGTCTTTATAGCTTTCCTACATACTGTTCTGCGAGTAATAAAATTCAAGTGAACAACATGAAACAATAAGAAATAGGCGAAATAAGTATGATAGGACATCTTCTCAGGCAAGAAGGTCTAGTCAGAGACATATTAGAGGCAGAAACAGGAGTTAAAAGGAGTTGAGGTAGTCCTTACTATTCGCAAATAGTTAAAGATGTGGGTTGTTCTAGTTTTGGGGAAATGCGAAGATTAGCTCAGGATAGGAACGAGTGGATGTGCGTCTCCAACTAGCTTTAGGACTGACGGCCTTATGATGATGAAACAACTTGAGAAGCAACGTAGTGAGGTAGATATTAGTTAAGGGAATCAGATAGGGATGAACACTGTCATCCTTACTTGTTAATCTATATATCGAAGACGCGATAAACGTCAGGGAGAGATGTAAAAGTAAAACAAAAATATTGGTCAGTAAGGGAATAAAAGGTAGGAAAAGAGTCAGTGAATAAAAAGATAGCAGATGAAAAATTAGATGAAGTTTCTGATTTGATAGAGAAGGTTAAAAATGAGGAAGTATTACAAAGAGTAGGAGAAGAGATGATGCTATATTTATGTCAGTAAGGTTAATAAGGAATAGGCGAGATAGATTGTTAGGACAACCTCTCAGATGAGTTACAGACATATAAGAAGTAGAAACAGGAGTTATAAGGATTACAGGTAGGCCTAGTGGTGGAGGTGTCTAATCAGTTTTAGGACTCGGTTCAATTCTTCATCGAGAATTATCAATTGAAAGAAGAAAAACAAGAAACCCAACATAATGTGTAAATACTGATAAACGAATGGGGTGTGGTATTTAACAATTCTGTTAATAAAGCTATTATATATCTATTTATAATTAGAAATTTTAATTGCAAAGGTGAGACGGTAATCTCTGTCTGTATGTAGGCACATCCGGGGATAGTATAGGGAACAAAACGGACTGTCATTCTGTAATATTCTGGCAGACCGCGACTCTGTTTTTCTTAAGATATTATAATTGGGTTATTCGTCGCTGTCACCGTTGAATGGAACTCCCGAAGCGGACCGCTGAAATAATTGCCAATTAAATATGAGTGTCTTAGGAATTTGAAAGCTGGTATTCCTGAATAGCAGCTCCTGTTTTTCCAAAGAACAAGAGAATGATGGATGCAGAACTTAATTGCCCAAGATTTTATTAACGCGATGCTCTTTATGTGGCAAAATTTCCAAAAGAAAAATCACGGTTTTAATTTTAATGAATCTCTGTTGTGCTAAATGTTTGCATTAATTAAAAAAAAAAAAAAGAAGTTGCTCTAAGGCGCGGTTCTGGACAACAATGAAATTAATATCAAGTAACTGGCAGCACATATCATTTTTAGTCCCATTCAGCCATACAGAATCTGTCAAAATTGATGACCTTTCAAACTGAGTAACAAACTCTTTAAAAAGTTAAATCAGACAAAAGTTGTAGGAAGCGTAGAAGAGAGATGTCAGGTAGGATTTGCAGCGGGCACTAATAAATAAAAAGGAATAACATTACACCAATTGAAGTGTAACAGAAGGAGATACAAACAAGCTGAATTTGAGCATGTTGCCCGTATCAGACTTAATATCGTAGTTCAGCATTCTCAGAAATTTAGGAAAGCGAAGAAGCTTGTTTAAAGGCATAATCTCAATCAGGTAGTTATAAAGTCGACCCTAATCTTTAACGTGCCTAACTAACCTCTAACCACTGCACTGCTTATTATTATTCGGTGCTACTACTCATGAAGCATTTCTTAACTTAACAAGGGCGTGTTCAAAACACACCAAAAGACGCCAGCCCCAAGTGGAAACAAGAATGAACATACGTCCATTCTCAAAGATCGCGGACTATGCCAATTTTGCTAGTCCCAACTGTAACTGAAATAAAATCTTAGCGTTCGTCAACTAATTAATTTAACAAGATACTTCCAACTGACTACAATTCACGTGAGAGCAATACTGCCGAATTCCAATTAAGTTTACATTAACGTACATGCTCATCATGGATGTGTAACCAACATTTCTGTGAACCGCTCAATCAACGGCGGACTAATAATAACGCATCTCAGTTCAATTGCTCTCACTGTTCGTACATACATATAACAATAATCCCATGCTAGCAATCGTTCCGAAATAAATTGTTTACATCTGCTTGCAACTACCTCTCCCACTTAATTATCAAAATGCCTTTGGTTGCTACTGTACTGTGCACTAACTACTCACGCCGCGCTAGCTCTAAATCAACTGTTGTTCCAATAACTGTTCGCTTATAAACGTGCAGAATTAATGTTACATATTATAGGATAACGCTGTGAGCCACGAGCGCTTACAGGAATAAAGGACACAACCAGGACAACATTCGCTTCGTTCGTATTACGTTTCCCATACAATCAAATGCAATTAATTTTAAGAAAGAATTAGTAAATGATCAATAAAAGTTAATCAAGAAAAAAGACAAAGTATCGACAGAGCATAGAGACCGGGACCGGTCGCATAGCAGCCAATCGTAGGTACCACTGGGCCATTTCCGTGTACTGAACATGGCGCTAGTTCCTATTCGCCATTTGTCGGCGGAGTACAAAATTCTGGCCCGAAAGAAAGAAAATATCTGCTAGATTTAGTCCCCGTCCTGTTTAACAATACACGTCTATTTCCTGCCTGATTTCCGACATTATTTATACATTACATTATTAATTTCTGAAGTATCTAATATGTGGAGTTCCTGTCAGTTTGCTTTATTGTCCCTACCGAGTTCTCCTGCTAAAGTTAGTTAACGGCTTGACGATATGGCATTGTGCCTTATGCTGCTGACTTATTAATATAATCCAGAACTGCTAGCGGGACGTGCAGCACGTTTCGAAATTATGGTCGCCTAAACCCGACACAGTTGACTGAAGAAACGCGAATATTAATAATTCCGAATGAGCAAGCGGCCTGCTACTGAACGAAAATTATTGTGCTATAAAATCCGGAATTTATTCAACAATATTTGAGTACCTACCTACTCTTTGCTAATTAGTTTATAAACACCGTAAATAATTACGTGTCGAAAGCTGGCAAACACAGACCTGGTAATTAATGCAGTCGTTTGCAGATGACGTGCCTAACATATTTTAGTGACAGGGGTCGAGGGGAAATGATTGGGGATGAATTTGATCAGTTTCCCTTGATTTTAAAAAGAATTACTTTTCGTATCGCTTGAACTGTTCACTTCTGTTATAAAAAAGTAACAGTTTCATGTCGAAAATAGCAACAAAATCGATATCGACATAGTATACAATACAATATCAGGAACGCAAAAAAGATTATAAATATAAATTTCTAAATCCAACAATTTTATGATAAACTTTACTTACCGGCCACTTTGTTGAAGGCGATGTCAGAGACCTTTCAGGGCCTGTAACAGAAATGGTAATACTTAAATTTGTTATTTATGCTGATTATTTAGGCAAATTAAAATTTTGAAATTTACCGTACTTGTTTTCTCATTAAATTGGATATAAAATAGGACCAAAAAATACTGAGCTAACTGTTGTTGTCCTACGGTTTCTATTGAAATAATTCTTATACGTACGCATTAGTATACCGAATGGGAAAGAGTGGACCTTGGTACAGGGGATCCGCCCTTTCTCATACTGTATATATGCACGTACTTTATAATGGGATTATTGGATACGAAGCGACATCAGTTATACAATTCCGACAATATTAATTTAAATTCTCTATTTCTTAACAATAGTTTAACATTTACGTTGAAATTTCAAGTCGAAAAAGCTATCTCACAATAAAACAAATTTATTTTCCAGGACAACAGGGCCTAAATAAGAACTTATGTTATTGTTTGCCATACAATAACACCTTCAAGTGAAACGCTCTTCCAAATTCTCTCATGCAGTTGCGTCGGTTAGAGAAATTACAGGATATCATTGTGATTTTAATAATGCAGACGAGGTAGTTGGAAGATTAAATACTGTCATATTCGAGAAACGTTTTCTAGAGGAATATCACCGAAGTTGTTCCATTAAAACTAATGGAAAACGATTAGACTGACTCTAAACCTGCAACGACGGCTATTACAGCCTAGAAAATACAACATAATATTTATACCTCTGGTGTATATGTGGAATTGGAAAATATACAGGGACGTAGTACACATATTTCATGTTGCTGTAATTTTTTCTTAATAATATTATAAGTACGTACTTAATCAGAATCTTTATCCATTCTGCGATTTGCTCGAAAGACTGTTGAAATTGGAAAACAGAAAAAAACCAAAGGTCTAAGTTATAAACTGTTAAATTAAGTCAAACAATTATATTTTACTTTGTCACATCAGTAATTATAACAAATGAATACCATGGATCCCGAGTCTCTGAACGCGAGACTCGAGTCTTCGTCTCTCACCGAGTCTCTTGGTGTCGCTGAAAGAGACTGTCGAGAGACTGTCAAAAAAACTGTTTAGCATATCTGAATGAGAGACTCGAGTCATTTATATAGAGATCCTCATTTCGTATACAGTCTCTGAACGAGAGACTCGAATCTCCAAATAAGTGGTGTCTCGAAAGACATGGTTAAAATTTTCTATGTTCAACATATTTCAGAGATCCCAGTCTTTCTACGAGAGACTCGAGTCTCTCAATTTTTTAATTTTATTCATTCAGTCTCTTTGTGAGGGACTCGAATTTCGGAATTAACAATTTCATCGTTCGAGTCTCTCATACAGAGACTGTGAGAGAACCGTAAAAACACCTAGGAAATAACTGAGAGACTGTGAAAGACTGTGAGAGACGTTCTCAGAGACGCTGAAAGACTGGACTGAGGGACTGGAGAGAAACTGAAAATTTTTGTCTAGTGGAAGCTTATCAAATAGTTGTAAACTCTTCTAATCGTTGTTCTCTTTGGCGACTTCAAATTTATAGCTTCGTTTTTGAACACCCAATTCTCAATTCTGTTACGCCACTGTCTGTTTAGTGTTATTTATTGAAAGAAATATTTTTATATTTGTGTATATCGGACTACTATAGGCTTATGGACATGGTTTCTATGTACCCACACGATTTGAAGTCTTCTTCAACACCTGAAGTGTCAAAATTCCTTAGCCAAAGTTCGTGTAATTAATTTAGTCAACTGTCAATTAAAAGCAGATGCAGGTCGAATTAATTTCGGTGGAGATAATGAGCTACTGCAGACAAATGAATTTCGCGTTTGTTCAACGGTTATAATTGTTAATTAGGAATAAAATTAATTGTTACGTTAATTTTTAATGAGCTCGCACACGTATCGCGTCCTTAAAATTAAACGGGCCACCGAATGTTTTATGATCTACCGTTAACAAGATTTTATGATTACATACGTAACATGTTCCTTTGTATACATGCCTTTCATAACTTCATAATCATTACAGCCCATTTCAATTTGTTTGAATTGTGACCTTGAAGAAATCTGCGCGAAGATAGAAAGAATACACACTAGGCGTGAGCAAGACAGAAATAGTTGGAACAAGCTTGAACGAGCAGAGCTCTCGATGGGCGGTCTGTACAGTACTAGACGAAAATGTTTAGCAATTTCTTAAAACAAAAATGTATATAAATTAACAATAGAAAACAAAGCAAAAGTTTTATAGGTGTGTAGAGCGTTAAGTTAATTCACTTGTTACTATTTTTGGCTAAATATGCTTTCAAATATAGCATATTTTCAAATTTTAACAAGTCAGTTTAAATAACTGCAAATGGTACTGTACATTTCTGTCTAGTGATTGAATTTGGAATTATGGTACGGCGCATCCTAATAAAGGGAAGGGGCATATCTCCAACTTCTTCAAACGAATAGTAGATACTTTTGTTAATTTCAAAACGTGTCTTCTCCTATCAATTTTGAACGCTAGTTTTAATCATCCACTTTCTACGCAGTGTTTTTGCTCAATAAATGCCTTTTTATTTCAAGGGTGACAGGTAGAAGCCCACATCGGCGAAAAAGAATGAAACGCGACGGGAATTAATGAAAGGGACGACTCCTTCGACAATAAATCATGCCTATACGGTCAAGGACGATAGTCTTGTTCTCGAATTTCTGCCGCTCCGGAAAAGTCAAAATCAATTTTAATTTGCCAGGAGAACAGCTAATATAAGACGACCAAATCCTTATAAGTCACCCTAATATATATATAATAAAAGGAAGTGTAATGTTCGAAATTTCATCCCCAAGACAATAACAGAAATGTACCAACATGTCAACACAGAGTAAATATAATCCTTCAGTTGACAGTTGTACTTATATAATTTTAATATTCATCGATACAAAAGGTCTTCCTTGATGTGATTCTAAATTCATTTTGAAGGGGGTAGGTAGGCTTGTTTTAACATCGTATAAAAGTGTAGAGGTTTTAATATTTTCCACTTAAATAGTAATTCAGATGATCTTAGGCTTCTAAACAACAACAGGACAAATCCCTAATTTAAAATACACCAAAAAATGTCATTCAAATACGATATTGCCCAGATTTTCTCTGTAGTACTCGTTTGTGGCTCGCCACAAGCCCGTGGGGACTCACAGGTGGCTCGTTCTGATGCATGACATTCATTTATTTCTATTTATGTATCGTGAAGTTGAATCTAAATGAAGTTTTTGACCTAACGCAATTAACAAATTTATGACACTTTCTTTAATGTAGACATAAAATTTTCTCAGTAGCAACAATTAAAAATTAGGTCATTGCGTAATGCCAGTTTTCCGCGTTGCGTTTTAAATGAGGGCTCTAAATTTTACCAAATTATAGAGCTAAACTCATTTCGTCGCGCAATAAAAATAATCCAAGATCTTCAATTCCACAGCCCCGACTCATTATTATTATTTTTTTTTTAAGGCGTCGTCCGTCGCGACGTAGTCCCTTAGGCGTCGGTCGGCAGGTTTCCGCGAGCCCATTTGCCCGATGTCACGTAAGTGCTTTATGCTCCATTAAAATTAAACCGAGCATAAAAAATTGCAACACGTTAAAACCGTTCCTAATATATATAATAGCGGTAGCAGAGAGTGTATCTCACCAGCGAATTTTAACCTTCGGGTTAATGAAGATACGGTTCTCGTCCCTTTGTCCCTCCGCTGATGCTTATTCCGAACAAAAATCCATTTCCAGTAAAAGCTTTTAATCGTTATTTAAATTCCTATGCGACGTTATCTCCCATGCTGCAGCCTTTCCATTGCGAAGGTAAGCGAAAATTCTGAACTGTTTACCCAAAGAAGTTCCTGTTAAACTTATCCTTACAGTCGACGGCTTTATCCAGGGATTTTTAAAGCATTAATACGTTGCCAGTTAAAGGTAATGAACGTTTGGCGAACATAGAAATTATATAAAAGTTGGTCTGCGTTCTGTCGGAGCTGCCTGCGTCGCGCTGATGAGATCCAAAAAGGTCGAAATCGCGATCCGCGTCCGGCAGTTTCGACAGAATACAGACCACTTCGAATTATTTTATTCGATTATGGTAACGTGCCTATCACGTTGAGGTTGGCTACGCCGGGATTCGTTTTCAGCAAGTAGATATCCACACAAGTGGACCTTGTTGGAGCATACGTAATCCTAAAATGTAGCATCGTGCTACAGATGGCGTTTACTGCGCCATTTGTAGTATTTTCTAAAACGCACTGTTAAGACAGCAGGTAAAAGTTGGTCTGTGTTCTGTCGGAGCTGCCTGCGACGCGCTGATGAGATCCAAAAAGATCGAAATCGCGATCCGCGTCTGTCAGTTTCGACAGAATACAGACCACTTCGAATTATTTTATAGAAATTATATGTTTAAGAAAGACCCAGTCAAGAAAAATAATAAGTCTGATGGGACAAATTTTTATTAAACCATGCTGAAGGATTATTTGTTTTCAGTTTAAGGGACGACGGCAGGATCAGTAGGCAATTTTGATGGAATTAAATGAACAACAAGTTCGAGGCCCATAAATTGAAGATATGATACATATAATGACATGTATATTTACTTTGTTGTCGCTTGTAGGTTAAATCGGGATATTGAGGTGCCTTCCTGTATATCCCGTTAACAAACTCGATCCATTTTAATCCAATTTAAATCCCATAGACGCTCGCACCAACAACGCCCGGCGTCAGCGCACCGCCCCCGAAACGGGTGGCTGCTCGAGTGCCCTAAAGTTGTTTAGACAGGAGGGCGACACAAAGCGGTTTTACGAAAATAAATCGAATTCCGGTTATTAGTCTTCTAATTAAGGAATTTGTGTTAGGTGCAGTTATTGAATTATAACTCCCGCAATCTGCGGGCTGATTTCGTATTCCGCGGAATTCCCCGAAGTGACGGGCCCTTTTGTTGTAATCAGACCGAAACACGTCACAGACGAGACGTTTTCAAATCGAAAGTAAAACTGCGAAGACTTGGATGC